GTAAGAGGTGGTCAGATAATAAATGTATTGTGAATGTAGAGTCAAAAGTTTTTGTTAATGGATCGTTAGAGAAAGAGAGGAGTCAGAGACAACTCCAATTTTTTTTTATTTTTACTTTTTTTTTTTTTTTTTTTGCCTAAACCAGTAAGAGGATGGAGTTTCCACTCACTGAGTAGACACCCGGTTGTGTGAATCTGGGTCAGGCATAGGTGCTGGGTTGAGATATAAATTCAAAGAAACCTCTGTGTGTGCATTGTAAGCTAAATGATTATATTGGATGCAATGACCAAAGGAGTGGCTACGAATAGGAAAGAGAAAACTTTCAAGAATTTAGCCCTGGGACATCTGACAAAGGAGACTGTGTCAAGCAACACTCATATATTGAGTAAGATGAGGAGTGAGAATTGGGCGTGGGATTCAGGCACATGGAGGTCATTGTTTACCTTGATAAGGGCAGTTTAGGTGGAGTGGATTTGGGTGAAAACCCAATTAAAGAGGATTCAGAGAGAATGGAGGAGACAAATTGAACACGGTGAATGCAATACACTTTTGAGGAGTTTTACCATAAAAGAGAGAATTTGGTGAGGGAAGTGGCATTATGAAATATTTTTAGCATGGTAGAAGCTATTTACAAGTGAAAATTATGTTGAGTTTAAGAGAATATATTTATATTTCCACTCATGAAACTTTTGATGCTACTCAAATTTATTTATACATTTTATGAATGATTACACACACATATATGTGTATACATATATGTGTACAAATATAACCTTAGTAATAGGTGCAAACTTAACCTCGTCTCTAGAAGCAACCCAACAGCAGGGCTATTGAAGGCCAGGGCTTTTGAGTTCGAGTTGGGTTCAAGCTTTGGCACTGCTATTTAATAAAACTGTTGATAATAGCTCATCTTTTTTGGTGCTATTTATGCTCCAGGTCTCCTTAGTGCTTTACCCACCACTATATTCTCAAGACTCTTATAATATAGATGTTATGATCACATCCATGTTACAGCTAGGAAAATTGAGATGCAGAAAGATTGAGTAAATTGTCCTCCATCATGTGGATTCTCTGACTGTATGTTAACTATTCTAAAGTCATGTTTGTCCAGCCCTTACACTGAAAGCAATCTAGGAGCCGGCCCCATGGTCAAGTGGTTAAGTTCATGCACTCTGCTTCGGTGGCCCAGGGATTCACCAGTTTGGATCTTGGCCGCGGACATGGCACCGCTCATCAGGCCATGCTGAGGCAGTGTCCCACATAGCACAACCAGAAGGACCTACAACTAGAATATACTTATGTACTTGGGGGCTTTGGGGAGAAGAAGAAGAAAAGAAGAAAGAAAGAAAAAGAAGATTGGTAACAGATGTTAGCTCAGGTGCCAATCTTTAAAAAACAAAACAACGAAAAAAGAACACATCCTGGGCTCTGTTCTCTCCCTTAAAAAAAAAGTAATCTATAGCTGTTATGAGGGGGTTTAAAAAAAATTAACAACCATTCTTACATATCACTTCAAGGCAAAAGTTAGTACATTTAATTTTTCTAGTCCAATATACATTACTTGAACAGAGGCTTCAGGAAAAGTTGAAGCCACAATCAGCATGATTCATAACTTCTGTTGAATCAAAGTGTGTAAAGTTCAGACAATGTAGTCTTGTGATAGTAAAAAGCAATCTAAAGTATGAATAACCTTTTATTAATATTTGTTCAGTAAGTCATATTGCAGATAAACAATCAAAGTCAGATTTCTTGCATGAAAGTTTTTCTCCCAGGAATACCTTTCAAGAGGAAAAGCCTGCTTTAAAAATAATCTTCCGTAATCAACAGCCTCTGCTCCCGTGGGAGGTCTTCTCAGCCTGCAATCACACCTGGATAGAATGCCCTGATTTTCTGAGTGTTCTTCCTTTATTACCTGTAATTCACAGCTAAGTGCCAATGCATTTATTCCCTACTAGTTGGGCTAAAATGCAGAATGTCTTGTTGCTCCCACCAGACATTGCCTAAATTGCTGTTGTCTTATTTTGGTGCTCTTGAGCCATTCTGGGGGCAAATTTTTGAGTAGGAGCATCTTATAAAGATACTGCTGTTAATTTTATATCTGTTGGGTTCACAAAGGACCTACTTCTTGCTTTATACATGGAGTCAGTAATTATGTAGGGTAATTATACTTAGGCATTTTTACCTCTTTTTTTTTTGTGGTAGAAATGATTTTGGAGCTAAATAGGATCCTATATCACCACCTCCGGCTTTTCACTCCTGGGAAAAGTGTTTTACTTCTCTAAGCCTCGTTATATTCATGTGGAAAATGGGAATGATAAATACTTTCCTTAAAGGTTGTAAAGACTAAAAATAATGTATGTAAAACCACTGAGCAGGATATCTGGTGCCTCCAAGAAGAATTTCAAAACCTTTACATGTTACATGGTATTCTTTAAAAAGATTTACTGTGGGGCTGTTAAATCAGACAAGGTATGCAAAGCTCCTGATGTATAGTAGAGGCTCAGGAAATTTTAATCATAATGGTTTCTCTACTTATGTGTAATACATAACGTTAATTCAGGTCTGAAATATGACATCAATATGTTATATTGCTTGTAATACTCCTATGATTAACATTTTTCTGTCAGTCAATAAATATGGTAGAAATGGGAAAGTTGTTGAAAGGATAGGAAAAGAAATAGGATTAAAGTTTACTTAGAGGCAAAAAGGAAGGTATAATCAAATAAGTGAATCTATTGTAAATAAAATGCTACTAGACAAAAAAGAGATCAGTTGATGACAAAACAGGACAAAACAGCCAGGAGTTTCACTAGGAGAATCAGGACAGTGTATTCAGAAAAGGCAGTATATTTGAGCCAATAAGAGCTTGAGTTGTAATGACATAGGGATGCCTGGATTTGGATCTTGGCTTGGGCAAGTTTTTTTTTTTTTTTTTAACCCTCTTCAGTGCAATTTTTTCCATTCTAAGCAGGATATTATAAAAACATCTTCCTAAAAGGTGATTTGTATCTGACTAATTAATAAATCAAAACAATTCCAGGTTTGTCATAATCATTTAATTAAATCTTGTTTCAGTAGATGGCCTTACAATCAAGTGCAGAAGTAAAATACTCTCATTGCATCAAAGGTAAATTTACCTTCTTAATGTAACTAACCCACTTAAACTACCTTAATCATTGAAGGCCACCTATAATTCTAGAAAGTAATTTTAAAGGATCATATATGCTTATTTCTTACATATGCGTAACTACTTTTCTATAGTTCTTGCCAATTACTTGACTTATATTTAAATTTTCTACAATTTGTAACTCATACTAATGAATTGCCTCAGGTTCTCAAAAATGGTCACACAAGTGTAGAAGTTCAGATGTCATATATATTGAATCAGAACTGCTGAGTATAGGGCATAGGAGTCCATTTTTAACAAGCAATGCAGTCAAGAATTATCCACGCTATAAGATGAGAATGTGTGCATTCTTGCCTATGGAAGATCTTGTCTTTTGTTTGAAGACATCAGACCCAAAAAGGAGATTAAACAGATGAACTCGATCTCAAATACTGGTTTCTTTAATATCAAATTCTAACCACTTGGGCCATATATCTTAAAATAATAAATAATTGCTTTAGAATATAATGACATTGATTATGTAAAACATTTTAACATCAAAACTTGCTGAGATAATACATAAAACCTAACATTTATCTGTGATATAGCTCATCGAAAATACTTAAAATGAATTTTTAGGTATGCTATTTTAATTTCTGATATTTTTTCATTTCCTCTAGAAGCATAGCAAATCACTGCAGTGTTTAAAAACCCTGTTATGGTAACTTTTAATAATCCCTGAAATGTAATTTAGATATTCTCTGAATGTTTGATAAATTGGCATATAAATGTTAATATAAGATGATACATAGCACACAGAATATAATATTACTTATTTCCAAATAATTGTCCTTGAATGAATAGAAAGGGAGAAAATAATAGCTTTTTACAAATTAAATTATTTACTATACAGGCCTGAATTACCTAATGACTTTTATTTCTTTATGGTGAAATGAAACTGCCTCACAATTAATAAAACAATAATGGTAAATTTCAACTATAAATGAGATCCTGAAACCTCAACATGAAATTAAGATTCTTAAGCCACAGTGATGCAAAGTAGCCACATTTTAGGTCCTCATTTAATATTTCATTTGAAAAACACAGTAAGTAAATAAAACTTTCTAGGAATTAATACTTTGCAAATGAGTAAATGGTATTATTTTTGTGCCAAAGTTTAACCAAATAATTATGTTCTGATTATTTTTGCATAAAAATAAAAAACTATTTTTTGCAATAAAAATCTTCCTCAAAGCATTTTTTATAATATGGACTTTAAAAAAATCATCATCAACACACAAACCATTTATATATAATTTCTAAGACCATGTGAAATGGATATCTTTTTAAACAACGTATATTTAGGTAACTCTATGTCTATGTTGGCTCTTCAACAGTTTGTGGACTATTAGAGCAGTTGGATTGAAATGCTTCACACAAGGGAAAATGAAATGACTAAACTGGGTTATATGTTGCTTCAATTCAGCAAATAATTATTCAAAAATAAACTATTTTCTGAAGAGACCATCGATTTAAAATAAAAATTAACAACTGAGTTTATTGTTAGTTTCTTATAGAGAGAAATAAATATGGAGACAAAAAATATTATTATAACTTCAGTTAGAATTCTGAGTCAGGTTACTTAACGAAAATAGGAGTAACTAAATTGCCTTTATGGAATAATACATTATTTCAAAATTAGCACAGATTTGAGATTTAACAACATTAACTTTAATAGTTATATCGAACACCTACCAATTAAAAATTTAATGAAAATAAATTAAAACATCAGTATTTCCTGTTGAAATTCTCAAGTGCCACAAATGAAATTTTATAAATAAGGTTCAAATCCCAAATGACTGGAAAGTTTTGCAGAAATAGCCATTATACTTACATAGTCTCCACAAAACATTTTGACGGTCGTGGTTAACTTTGGAATAGATCAGAAGATTTTCAGTAAGTGATCAGTTGCATAGACTTGTTTCACTATGGAGCTCGAAAGAATTGAAGTTCACTGTTCAATTAAATTTAAATATGTCTACCATTCACCTCAGGCAAGAAAATGTAAGGTCAATTCTGGAGACAGCATGTCTCAAGATACAGTATTTATACTGAGCTATCAGTCATAGTTGAGTAGGCAGAATTATTGAACAAAGTAAATAGAACCAGTAGCCTAACCCTCGTCCTATGTTGATTTAAGAAATGTAAATTAGCCAAACAATGAAAGAAGTGTAATCTTTTGGAAAAGCTGATGACTTATGGAAAGGTAAATTGATTAACCACAAAGTTAATGATTTATTTTCTGCTTTATCATTTTTAAAATCCAGACTCTTTCAGTTACTCAAGCCTCTAGCTTCATATTTCAAATTGCCAGGTTCTATGCGCATCTATACCATTCTTTAAATATTTTTAACTATTATATATCTGGCCTTATGTTAAAAAATAATGTATTTAGGAGAGAATTTATTATCCAGTAATAAAAGTCTTTGGAGAAATCGTATATTCACCGTAATTTTCACACTTTCATATATATTTTATTTTAATATTTAACTTTATTACATTTTAGGAAACAAATTTAAAAAATAACTTCAAAGTCCAATATGTTGTTGAGTATTATCTATCCTCATAAGTTGCATACATTATTCTAAAAGTTACAAAATAAATGTGTATTATTTCATTTTACTGCTATTTGTGAATTAGTGAACAATACAGTGTTTATTTAATCTATAAAAATTTTAAAAGATTTTGAAGATGAATTGTTATTGTTGTTATGTCTCTGACTCGTGGAGACCCTATAAATGAGTGATGTCCGCAATGCTCTGTCCTTAACAGCCCTAATCAGCTTCTGTAGACTCATGTCTATGGCTTCCTTTATAGAGTCAATCCATATCATATATTGTCTTCCTCTTTTCCTGCTGCCTTCTACTTGTCCCAGCATTGTTGTCTTTTTTCAAAGAATCCCGCCTTCTCTCAATGTGCCCAAAGTAAGACAGCATCAGTTTTCATTTTTCCCTCCAGTGATTGTTCAGGCTTAATTTGCTCTAGGAGCCACATGTTCATCTTTCTGGCAGTCTAGGCTATCTACAGAGCTCTCCTCCAACACCGTATTTCAAATGACTCAATTTTTTTTCCTATCAGCCTCTTTCAATGTCCAGCTTTCACACCCATACATGGTAATTGGGCATACAAAGGTGTGAAAGATCTTGGCTTTATAAATATTCTTGGTTGAAAGAACAGAAAATTACAATAATAAGTATCAACCGATCAGCATCCATAACTCTAGGAGAACTTTCCCCAAATAAATCTGATGTTAAAATATAAATAAAATAGTTAAGCAGGATGTATTAATCTAATACATATTGTAAGCGGAAAAATATCTGATTTCTGCAGCATTCAATTCATAATGGAATCTGATTAACTTAATAATATATTTGGTACTATGAAAGCATGAAAGTAAAGAAGCATCATGTCTACTTTCAAAGAAGTTATCATCTGGTAAATCATGCTATGTATGTGCGTGCATATGTATGTGCATGTGTGTGTTTGTATTTGTAAATGTCTGAACTGAGTCTTGTGTTTTCTCTGTGTATATTTGGACAGCATATAATAATTACTAACTAATAGTTACACTGATATGTATAGGATTCAGAATTAAAAACAAAGAAGCATGAATTTTTCAACTAAAATTATTTTCTTTTTTATGATTCTTTTCAAAGTTTGTGTTATTTGCGGCTTTAATTTTTGACAAAATGTGTCAGTGTGAAATAAAAATTGTCAAAATATTTGAGGCAAACATATTTTCCCATATATTACCAGATAATCAAGGAAAAGAGATCTGATAGTATTTCCTAATTTCCTTCCACACAATGATTACTTTGTGTTTTTTTTGTGCGTGAGAAAGATTGGCCCTGAGCTAACATCTGTTGCCAGTCTTCCTCTTTTTGCTTGAGGAAGATTGTCACTGAGCTAACATCTGTGCCAATCTTCCTCTATTTTATGTGGGATGCCACTATGGTGTGGCTTGATGAATGGTACTAGGTCTGCACCCAGGATCCGAACCTGCGAACCCTGGGCCAGCACAGCAGAACTCGTGAACTTAACCACTACGCCACTTGGCCAGCCCATACTTAGTGTTTTTTTATTCATCATTATTTTGTGATGCAGCTTTTAAAAAAATGTACCCAATTGAAACTATGATGTCTGAGATTTGCTTTATAACGGTTCATGCAGAAAAGTTGCAGGAGTTATTAATCCAATATCACAAAATCTTGAAAACCGTTGGGGAAATGGCAGTCCATTACACAATTCTCTTTTTGTAGCTTTTTATGACATTTTTTTCCAAGTTTGGGTTTAACTTATTTATTCATATTTAAATATGATTTGAGAATCTACTGTGTGAAAAGCAATAAATGCTAATAATAATTGAGCTTTTATTCTAAATTAGGCACTGTTTCAAGTGAATTTACCTGTCCAAATGAATTTAATACTTACAATAACTCTATGGGCTAGGTACTATCATTACCCATATTTTAGTGAGGAGAATCCTGAGGTACTGTGTAGTCAGAAAATTCGCTAAGATCACATCCTAGGAAGTGGTAGAGTAGAAGTTTGAGCCTAGGCAGTCCAACATCAGAACCTATAACCTCAATCTCTATGTTATACAGGTACTCTGTTAATAAAACAAGACAAGTATTAAACAGAAAAAAATAAAAATTCATATTTTTTGGTTCAAAGAGATTTAAATATTGGTAGGTGAATAAAATTAATAGAGTACGAGACATGTAAGTGCCATAAGCAAGTTAGGTAAAACATTATGGACAATTTCATTAGAGACAAGTTACTTTAGGCTGTAAGTAAATCAAGAAGCCTTCACAGATGAATCAGCGTTTGAAATGTGGCTTAGAAATTGACGGAAGGAGCCTGGCAGGTAGAGAAACCAAGAATCTAGTACTCACAGAGATAGATCCCACAGGCAGGAGGTCATGAAGTATGCATATAATTATATTAATTTTAAATTTGAGTTTGAATAGTTATATACGGCCCATAACAAAAGGCACTTTTTTTCTGCTTCATTTATTTGAGTTAAAATTCAACCTGAAAGGTATAAAGGAGAAATATTAGTAGCATCCAATATCTTAGAATTAATATTTTCACTTGGTCATAAATCGACACATACTGGATCAGAGAGGGGATATGCTAAATCAGTCTAAAAGGACAGAATGACTTCTAGGCCAGTAGGACATGATTGTAACCTATCAAAGTAAATAACTTATTTAAAAAATTACTGTGGGTAAATCCAAAGGTAGGTGGATTAGTTAGTAAAGCACTGAAAAATGAGATGAATGCTGGTAGTAACCAGCTAATAATTGCTTAAGTTAAATAGTGCATTAGCCTGAATAACAGGCATGCTGAGTCTTTTGCTAAGTATCTACTTGTGGTAGATGATAGTATTGTTTACAATTATTCACTAACTTCATTTCTGTTATATGGTATACACTTTTATGCATCTTTGATTTTGGGTTTGGTCATGTGACTTGCTTCAACCAATGGAATATGAGCAGGTAGTTGTATGGTACATCGGAGCACAAACTTTTAGACACATTTTGATTTTCTGCCACTCTTTTCTGTTACTTCTGCTCTCTGGCAAAAATAGTACGTGCCAGAATGGGAGAAGCTTAAATTGGAAGCCAATGGGAGGAGGCCATAGGAGATGCACAACTTCTTAGATTTGCATTAGCTTGGCAAATTTTGGCAATATTCATCATATTATCCTGATTAGAAGCCACTCAATATTAACTTTATGATTTTCTTTTATAATTATTCACCAGGCAATCTTCTAGATAAAATTTGAATTCCTGTGTAGTGTGCCATAACAAACAAGCATTTAATTCTTCTGGGAGTCATATTTTGTATCATTTATTCAATTTTTTAGCAAATATTTTTTATGCAAGTAACATGTGCCTGGCCATATACTAGGTACTTGGGATACTTCATTGAAAAAGACAAAGATCCCTGCCTTGTAGTGCTTAGATTTGTTAATCAATCGTTTGGAATTTTTATTGTATGCATGATTCAAAAGTGTAGTTACGCAAGTTGTTTAATATAAGTTTATGTATACTTATGTATAATAGCTATGCCTCCTTGAGTGCTACAACCTACCTAGAACAACCATCAGAAGGAGGCTGTAAACAGGACAAATTTCCTTTCAATTAGACAGTGGTTGTCAAACTGAGTCAATCTTCCCTAAGGAATTTAGAAAAACTCTAGACCTCTTTCTTCTTTTTAAAAAGTGCCAGGTAAATATTTTCATTTAAGGTTAGATAGTTGTAAATTATTTTTTACTCTTCTAAAAGCATCCAGTGAGATACAAATACCATAGCAATTCAATGCTCACAATCATTCATTTAAAAAACATGTAATAAACTCTTATTTAACTCGACTATTTTGCATCACTCCTCTGTCTCTCTGAACACCCATTTCTATTCCTCTTCCTGTATAGATGTTTACATGAGGTAATTTACCTTTGAATATCTGTTGGGGGGTCACTTTACCATATGTTTATAAATTATCCATGTACTTTTTTCCCTAATCTTGACTGTAAAGATTTTCATTTTCATTTAAAAATGGAAGCCAATGGCTCCTTTCCACTACTCTTTTTATTTTCATAAACAACTTTAATAAAAATTGTTTACAATTAAATGCATCCATTTAAAGGGTACTATTGGGTAGCTTTTGATGTAAGTTTCACATCTGTGAAACTAAAACTACAATCAAATTCAGAACATTTCATCACCCGCAAAGGTTTTCCCATATCCCTTTGTAGTTTCTCCCTCCATCCATCTCTTGTCCCAGGCAACCATGGGTCTGTTTTCTGAAACCATAGATTAGTTTACTTTATCTAGAATTTCATATTAATGGAATCATATGGTATGTACTCTTTTTTGTCTGGATTTTTTCAGCATAATATTTTTGAGATTTATTTATGTTGTATGTATCAAGAGTTCCTATTTATTGCTGAGTAATATTTCCTTGTGTGGATATACTGCATACTACTTACCTATTTA